ATACAGTCCATTATAGGACGGAAATGTCATTTTACAATTTAGCCAAAGGTGATGTCAGACTGTATGGTCTATAATTTAGGCCAGATATTCAATAATAGTTTCATTTGATGACTCTGAAATATGAACTTGAATGGTAAGCCTTCTGAGCCCTCTTAAGCATAGGTTGCTTAAATAGCCAGAGATGCCAGAAGAGAAGCTCACAGCCTTACTGCCCCTTCGCTGTCCTGTGAACCTCCTCTAGCTGGCAAAACATCTCTGTGGGGGCACATTTGCTGTATTTCACAGGTCCTCATGACAGCCCCATCCAGGCAAGACAGGAAGCCTGAGAATTGGTGTGTCTCCTGCTCACATCCATGTTGCAGAGGGAAAACCATTCAGGAAAACTGTGACATTTATATGAGCAAAGACACTATGTTAGTTAGCTCTGATAAATATGCATCTGCAAAGAGACAAGCAACTACATCCAGAGCATCAGTGTTTTATTACGAAATATTGCAAGAAGCAAAAGAAAATATTTATGTTGCTTCAGTACTGCAAATCTAAAGTTCTCTTTGAATAATAAAGACAACAAAACTCTTTAGATTTTATATTTACCAAGTTGTGCTTAATATTAGCGCAAAAGAGAGGAAGTAATTATTCTTCAAAGAATAAAGATACATAAACTATGTGCCAGTTACAAAATTTCAGGAGACTGTATACCACTCACCCTCAAACTCCATATCCTCTGCTGACCAGCATCCAGAACAAAACTGGCCCATCCTGTGAGGCAAGAAGAGCATTTCTAGGCCCATGTTCCAGCCCCAAGGCACGTCATTGGGTCTTTGCCAGGTTGAGAGCCCAGATCCCAGCAGGATTAACCATTTCCATCTTCGGTGCCCATTTCCCTGCCCTGCCAGCTTTGTACATCCCAACTCTCCAGTCTCTCAGACTGTAAATCCCAGAAAGTGAGCAAAACTCTGCAGTGATGAGATACTTGCAGAGGGTCAGGGCAACAAGAAAAACCAAAACCTGATCAAGCCAGGCCATGACTGGCTGTCAGATGCTGTGTCAGAGCAGGAATGACTGAAAATGGGAGTGTTTCCAAAAAGGGCATGGGCCACATCATTCATTCCTGGCAGAGTTATGCAGCTGTTACTTGAGCCAGTCCTTGTCATGCCACAGTTCCCTCATAGTATCAGGAACTACATGGACATTTGTCAAATAGGATGACATCTAAAGATAGCATTGAACCTAAGGGAAAGGAATTTAAAAGAAAACAAATCACCATGGTTACAAAGCAGGGTGAGAAAAGTTTTCTCTGTGTGTGAAAACATGACTTGGGTGACCTTTGCTGAGATGGACTCCTGAGATGGCAGTAAGCTGTGCAGAGCCAGTGAAAGGAAAACAAGGGAGTTCGAGCAACAAGTGAAGATACTTTAATGTTCAAGGTGGCATAGTACAGCTGCTGCAAGTCATACCCCTCTGAGGAGCCCTAGGGCTTGGCCTGGGGGCTCAGTGATTTGTAGCCACAGCAGCTGGAGCCTATATGCTGCTGCAGCATTGGCAGCAAAGGTGAACAAGCCAAAACCTCCCCAGCACAGCCAAGTACCTCTATCAACCCATCCAAACACCGTAGCAAAACCACAGGCCAGAGCTGTGATCCAGCAACATGTTGAAGCCAGCACTGGGGTACCTAGTGCCAAGCCAAATGCCACATGTTGCAAAGCTTTGATAAATCAGCTTTTGCTACTCATGCTTGTTTAAAATCATTAGTGGGTTAGCCTTGTACAAGCGTGCTGGGTGCTTGATGAGGCTCTTGCTGCTCTGCCCTCTCTGCTGCATCACATCCTCCCAAGAGTGGTGTAAAGGCAGCACAGAGTCAGTGGCTAATCTGATAGCGGTCACCTGCCTGCTCTTGCCCAGCGTCCCTGGAATTGCAGCGTGGGTTTATAAAAGCCCTTAGGGCTTCCCGTGGCTTGGTCTGAGAAGCTGGCAAAGGACACAACCTGCTTACCTGTGCACCTGGTCAGTGATAAGGGAACACTTGAGTAAATTGCCACCCCTCCACACCCCTTGAAACAGCAGCTGAGGTACCATCTCAACTCTTGTCAAATCCCATGCATGGGCCAGTCTCTACGGAATAGTGCTGAGCCCTTTGCTACAGCTCCACAGCAGCTTCTCACTCAACCTCTGGCTGGCAAAACACATAATGGCAGGAGCAGATCATGCCTTTCAGCTGCTCTGTTTCTCCCTGCTGCCTCTCATGCCACAGAGCTGTTCTGGTTTGTGCCTTCTTTGGCCTTTTGGTGATGCCAGGTCTGACCTGGAGGAGAGTTCCCGCTGTACAGCTCAGTCTGAGAAGAGTTGTAACATCTCGCTACAACCCACTGAGCATCACAGCTACCACTAGGCAAACAGTGAACACATAAAGGCTTCTGATGCAAGCTGGCTGTGCTATCAGAGTAGTAAAAGGATAAAACTCCCATTTGTCTACCCAGGCTATCCAAAGGAAGTTCTTGGTCTTCTCTTCCCTGTCTCTTGCATCTATTTCAAACCTCACAAACACTCAGGTACCTAGGTATCCACCTTTCTCCACCATGTGAAATGCTGAGACCCAAACTAGGATATTAATGTGGAAACTACTGGTATTATATGTTCCTGAAACTCTTCTCAGCAATGTGTCCAAGAAAGTCCTGCTTTGGTGACTTCAAAGAGAAAGTCTGTACAAATCGTCTAACTCCAAATTTTTTTATTTGATATTTTTGGGAGGTGTGGTTTTCTCTGCCCAGGCGCTTCGTGGCAAGCTATGGCAGGATGGAGTTTCTGACAGCGTTTGCAATACTCTGAAAGGGACAAATTTACATGAAAGCATCACTTCCATTCTGAGTTTGGAATTGTGTCACATAACCAAACCATGATGAACTGATGAAAGTTTATTCTGATGATGTAATCCCAACTGTGCTAGGTAACACTGAAGGTTGGCAATGCCATGAACACACAGATTTTGCAATCCTCTTTTTTCTAGCTTACTCATGCACTTTAAGTTAAATGCAGCTGAAATGGCCCTTTTATTTCAATTAGAGTCCATCTTTGTGTTTCTGACTGGTCTCTATCCTCTTACTACTAAGCGATAGTATGTTCTGAGTTTACTATACTCAGGTAACAGACACAAGAACAGGACCAACACACAGCAGTGTGATAAAATTACCATACAGCACAACAAAGTTTACAACTGTCCCTTGCACTCCAGCCAGCGGTGGTGAAAGAAGATAGTAAAGGTGCTTTAGCCCTGTGAAAAGTACCTCTGTTAACACCAATCAGTACTGTGGCTTCTCCAGTGTCCCACATCCTTTTTCCCAAATGAAAACCAGCATTTCAGCTATGTAGTCATTAACTCTTTTTTTTTTTTTAAATCAACAGTTCAAAGTATCCAATTAAAATTTCTTTCAGCTTTCACTTCCCACTCTTCTGACATCATCTTTTCAGTATCTCTCCAGCCATCACAGAGTCCAGCCAGAGAGGAAGACTGAACAAATGCAGAAGCAGGTAATGAACTTTCCCTGAATTTCTTCATCTGTTCCAAATAAGTTAGCCAGTAAAATGCAATGGGAACAGACATTGCTATGTCTTATTTGCTACAGGTCTTCAAGACATGAGTTAAAACTGCAAATGGTTATACTGTATAGCAGAACCAAATGCATGACTGAGGTTACAGATTTTATAATTTTCATCAGCCACTGTGTAACTTAAAGAACCTGACCATTTGTTTCCCTGAACCAGTTACATCAGCACATCATAGGGACAGGGTATTTGGCAGTTGGTTTTCTTTCCTTTTTATTTTTTTAAGAACTATGTCGCAATACAGTTTTTAGCATGGAGATTTATCAGAAGTATTTACAATTGGTTATGAGTTCAAAGGGGCAAGATAGGAATTCAGATTAACTGGAAATCTAAACAAATGTAAAGAAAAATGAGATCAGATTCCAAAAACCTTCTAGTCTACATTGCAAGCCTAACAAATGATCTTGATTTGTGTTGGTTGTTAAAGAAGTGTAAATTCCATGATAAATTGATGTAGCTCTTGGGATGAATAAAATCAATAATGTAATAACATTGAGTTAATATCAAGCTGACATTGATTGAGAATCAGTACATAGAATTCAAGGTCTCTTCCCATGCACAAGGAGATATTAATAAACTAGAGCCAGATTGCCAATTAAATCTTGATATTTTACAGCAGATGAATAAAATAATGTGTGATGAAGAGAGCAGGCTGAGAGTAAAGCTATTCTGTTGGAAACCAAGTGTTCAGGGAGTCTATGATTCCTGAATGGGAGTATGTGAAGAAAGGCCCTCAAAAGACTTGCAGAAACTGGTGGTTTGTGATGCTTTTCCCCATAGTTATTTCTATACAGGCAAAGGTAGTGGAGGCAGAAGACATTTACTCCAAGAAATGGGACCCTAGTTCACAAATAAGTTTTTGGCAATTTGTCTCCAATTTAGACATATATTATTGCATTCCCTTAGCATATGTGAAACTGGTCGATGAACAGACCTGCTCCACCTCCTAGCAGACTTGTTCTCTTGGCATGTTCAGTGTCCCTGCTACTTAAATTCTACCTCTGCCATGGGGGGAGAGTCAATACCAGGTGAGCATTAGGCCTTTCCAGATACACTGCTGAGAGCAACTATGGGCTAATGAGATGAATTTTTCATTGCTAATATACTAATTTACACTTCAAATCCCAAGTAAGGTTTAGAGAATGATGAGTCATGAGAAAACAAAAACGCAAAATGAGTGTGTACAACAGAATGAGCAAATGAAGACTTGTTTCTTATGTCTTTCTCTTTGTCCCTCTTTCCCTTTCCCCTCTGATATCTGGTAAGACTTCTCTCTCAGTAGAAGCGAATTTGAATTATGTGCTCTCCCAATTTTATGGAAATTTAGTGTAACTGTGACAACATTGAGGCCTCTACACTTACCTGAAGTTAGGTATCAGGGTAGAAGTCATTGGGAGGGAGGAAGAGAGAGATGCACATACTTAGGGCACAAACTGTAGTTCTAAGTTTAAAAAAATATTCCAATTATTATCATAAATAAAGTGGATTTGGTTTGAAGCTGGGAAGGAGGAATGACTGTAGAAGCTCAAAGTGCTACTGTTTCTTGGCAATTACCTCTTGGAGTAGACATGGGGAGACTTCCGGAGCAGCGTGACAGTGGGAGTGACTTGCCCACAGGCATACAGAAGGCCATCACAGAGCCAGACTTCAGGTTTTTCATTTCCCCCCTCCACCTTGAAAAAATGCAAACAAAAGTCACTTTTCCTACAGTTTTGAGACTTATACATCAGTGGTGTAACTCGTCTGATAAAATATTTAGACATCTGTTCAGACAGATCACAACCTTGCCTTCTAAAGAAAATCTCTTCTGGGCAAAGACCACACCACTGCTGTGATGTGCAAATCCTTTGTCCCTGGGTTTGCAGCACCTTTGGACTCTCCATAATGGCTGTGCAAAGATCCATGCTGCACACACCACTGGTGATGAATAATTTTTTGACTAGTTATCAGATTCTTCTGACTGATGCCTATGCATGTACACCCTCCTCAGATTTATTGGAACAGAGGATTTCACAGGATGACTATCTGAGCTTGCTTCCACTTGCTCCCCTGCAAGTTAGGTCACAGCTTCAGCAGAAAGTTGAGATGAATCCTACATGGTCTCCGGAGTTTCCTGTCCAATACTCATGTCTTCTAATTGCCTGTATATAACTATAGAGACTGATAAGTAATGAGGGAGGGAAGATCTCTGACAGGAATGCCCTTGAAATAAACTATTCTAACAATATCATGTAGGGATTAAGATAAGCACTTTGTCCTTAACTTTGTGTGAATGAACTGGGGCTATTTATCAGCCCTATAACTCATTCAGCTTTTTTCCTCTGAGTAAAACATCAAACTCATTCATTATAGTTGGCTTCAGGGCTCTTGGGAACTATCCTCAAAGCCCTCCATCTTCAGCATGGACAGCTAATCTGGACAAATAATTTCAAACAGTTTAAGAAACAGTTTGACCCCCAAGGTAATAAACCCAAAGGTTAAAGGGAAAGCTTGGTGTGTATCTTTAGAGAATACAAATTGAGCTGTTTATTCCTTCCCTCTGGAGCCTGTGCAAGGTTCAAATTCAGTTTATAAGCTTATCACCAAAATTCATTTTATAGAGTACCTTAAACTCCCACTCAGTCCGATCAAAGCTTTTCCAACATAAAGCAGCTGAGCCACAATTGGTTCCCTTGTTCAGTCAGCCAAGTCAATGTTCTTAATCAGTACAAAAACATTAAAAGTCAAATGGTGGTTTTTATTAAAAGTGTTTGATCAGCTTCCAAGGAGGGGACAGAGGTCTATGGAAAGAAACATTCCTGCCTGCTCCTACAAAATGCATGTGAGTCCTGTAAAGTGGTGGGCTCTGAGAGGACCCTGTGGCTTGCTCATGACTGACCTCATTATCCTGGGAGCAGGGTGCACCCTCTCACCCTTCACTCTAATCTTCCTCCAGCCTGAACTCTTTTGGGTTCCCTACTCCTGAAAACTCATTTATATCAGCTCCTTTCATTGGATAATAATCAAGCCACCGGGGCTTGCCAGGGATCAAAGAATGATTGCTCCGGTTGTCTCAAAATCTATTGCTTCTTTAGATGCTGTTGCTGCTTATTCAGACAAAGCAACAGTTACGCTGAAAGGAAAGTCCACAGAAGCTGTGGGATTTCAGACAGGGCAATGTCTGGGAAGTGATGTACGCAGCACAACACCCATCTGTCTTTCTCAGAGCTCACTCAGTTGCTTAAGAGAGAGTGGACATACACCCAAGAGCACTGCACAGACATGGCTGGCCCCAAGAGCTGCTTGTTGGTAGCATTCCTACAACTCTTTTCCAAACACAGGCCCATAGGTGACATCCTCTTCTCAGTGGTCATGCTTCATACACCCAGACATGCCCCACAGATCAGCACATCTGGCTGGAAGCCAAGGTCCTCTTTTGAACTTAGTGAACATAAGTCGATTTTTCCAGCAGTAGGGAAGGAGCTCCCCGAAGCCCAAATCTCTACAAAGTACAGACAGGGGAAAAAAGCTACATTTAGGGTCAGAAAATTAATGTGAACTGATCTATGCAATTAAGTTACAGCAACAAGACAGTGGGGCCATTTTAGATCCATGTGCTGGGAAAAAAAAAAGACCTAACAAATGAAGACATACTTCGCATTCATGACATCCTCTCCTTCCTCCAAAAGGCTGTCAACAGAAGTTGGCAACAAGACAAATGTAACCAAGATGTTTGAGGAGATAGCTCACCAACAAGACCTATTCACACACACAAGTCATCAACAAATGTTTCAGCTGTGAAAACTAACCAAATTTGGCAGAAGAAGCCTTTTTTGCCATTGGGACTATGCTTGAAACTAATCATCAATTGTAGTCATAAGATTTGGTGGACACTACCCCAAGGAGTTTAATCAGTGAAACCATAATCTCTCTTTAGGATAATTTGGGCAGATTATTCTCTCCCAATGAGGCACTCAGAGATAGGAGGGATGTGACCACAAACTGATTGGTGCAGGGATCTGACTGATAGGAAAGAACCTCAAATCAGGAGGTTGGAGTGGCGAGAGAGGAGGCATTTAACAGAAAATTTTCATTCCCATTTAATTGTATTTTGATGGCTTATCCATTTGCAGAGATTTGATCATTTAAAATAACTTCAAATAAAAGACACAGAAAGTAGCTGACTCATCCTACTAGTCTCTTATGCATATTCTTCTCTCTGGTAACCAGTGACATGACCCAAAGGAATGGCATGAAGCTGTGTCAGGAGAGGTTTAGGTTAGTTATTAGGAAAAAGTCCTTCAGCAGAGTGATTGGGCACTGGAACAGGCTCCCCAGGGAAGTATCACAGCACCAAGCCTGACAGAATTCAGGAAGCATTTTGACAATTCTCTCAGGCACATGATGTGATTTTTGGGGCGGTCCTCTGCAGGGCCAGGAGCTGGACTTCAATGATCCTCATAGGTCGCTCCCAAAACACGATATTCTATTCTGTGATGCTTGTGGGTCAGTTTCTCACTCAGGATATTCTGTAATTCTATGATTACCAATTCAGGCAAGTAGAAACATTTCCACAAAGCCAGAACAACATAGCTCTATTCCATTCACAAAATAAAAGCAGGAAGAAGAAAGCGGCTGAAGTTGTGAGTCAGTCCACACTTTTGAAAGTACAAGCAGTTCCATGGGTTCCTAATGACAGACTTGTGATAAAAGTTTTACACTTGTTTGTTAGAATTTTTATTGATGCCCTAGCCATATCCTGTAAGTAATCCCCAACTTCAGGAATTACACAGATCAAGTATTTTTGTCCTGATGTCACTATCTCTTTCATAAATTGAGCACAGTCAAGCTTTTTTTCCAAAGCCCCAGCAAATCGGGTTGGAGTTGAGGAGATGCATATGGAAGCACACAAAGCTCAAGAAACTCTCCCCAGGTTGCTGGCTACCTGCTGATAATCCATCTTCTCTCCAAACCATATTACACAATGTCTGTAACAGTAACTAACACAGCATAAACACACTATGTTTCAGTGCTGCAGTTGGTGCTTTCTCTTATACAAAGTATTCAGTCTAAAGGAAAAGGTAAGTAAAGCACCAATTAGAGAAATAGAAGTGAAGCACTGTTTTCTCTCATTTTTACCCTGTTAAGTGCCCGTCAAGTTTATCATCCTCCTTGTGCATCCTCCTTTATCACCACACAGTGTCAGACAATTCAGATTTTCCCTCTGCAAGCCTGACCACCTTGCCTGAATCACCAGTCTCACAGCCCTGACCAGGTGTGACCACCCACCTTGGCACTCACAGAGTCCATCCTGGTGCTGCTGCCCAGCTTCCTCCTGTTTGCTAACAGAGGTATGTTTTTGATCAATTATTACTGCCATGCTACTGAATCACTGCCAGGTACAGGATAGGAGTTGAGTCAGGAGACTTCCCGGAAAACTACATCTTTCTTGTGCTGCTGAACCATCTCTCTCTCTGAAATGCTTGTGGATTAGGGATTTGAAGAATCCATTTGTCATTGTATTCACCAAGCCAGACACATTCTGATTCTGGGTAATGAGATCTCCTCATTCAAATTCCTAGAAGAGAAAAATAAATGTCTTGTTCTTGCAGTTCTTTGTAATATAATCAGTTACATATCTGTGCGTGTAAAATATTGTTCACCTGCATTTTTCACCTGTATTATACAGTGACAAAAAATGATTATTCAGGGTAGTTGCTGCATTGTCATTGAAGAAGGCGGCTGACAACCTGGCTGAGTTCACACAAAGCATCCCAACAGGACTTACAGATGATCATTGTTGACACACTGTTAACTCTTAGTCACAATATTTACTGCACAGTGTGTGAGATAATGACAGGATTGAACCTGCACTTTTGATAACAATAGAGTTTGTCATATATTTCTGAAGGAACAGGATGAGAAGGGTATCATTCTTTGCTCACAAATGTTTCAGCTAAGTGAGAGGAATCATGTAGGGCATGGACTGGAATAGTTTTACTACAGCATTTCTTGTATCTCCTCTAGCACCAAGTGTTCAATGATTGAAGCAGGGTACCAGACTTAATAAGTTTGGCCTAGCAAAGCAACCTCCATCTTACTATAAGCACAGACGCTACATTTCAACTTCTGCCTACCAGACTGGGTGCAGTGTCTCTGAAAATACCAAACTGTTCCCTACTTACAGCCTCCACAAAACTAAGTCCACGCTTCCCATACTTGCAGCACAGTGCTACAGCCTGTCTACTGCTCTGTGACCCCAGACTTCCAGCAGAGCTGACCAGGCAGTCCTCAGCTGGCAAAGTGAGTGGCCTCTGGAAAGGCAGAGTGGTGGAAAGGCAAAAAGAAGTTAAGGAGGTGTAAGGGTTGTCTTATGCACCACAGACACAGCTGAAGGATTGCTGCTTATCCATGCTCTGTCATCCGTGAGGCTCAATGTGGTGCCCCTCCCATTCCACATGAAGAATGAGTTCTCTAATGCATGGCAGCCAAAGAAACTTTGGGTGCCTGTATTTAATATGAACAAAGAGTGGCAGTGTCACTTTTGATTACAGGCAGAAACAGCAGCTTTCATGAAAGTCCAAATAATTATGCAAGGAGCAACAGTCATAAGAGCTCTGGTGAAAAAAGGAAAAGGAGGCATAGTCTGAGAATATAAGGCTCAAATCCTAAGAACAGGATGGGGTAGTGTTTATGCAGCTAGGTAGGTAGTTTGAAATGTGATTCAGATGTTTTTATGAGGCAGATTCATATTCACAAACTGAATAAAGCTGCCAGATTTCTGTGTGGTTCCGTTGTGCTTCAGGGAATTGTCACACCCCTGATGATGTACTAGGAAGTAAGAAGGTGACTTCCCCTGTAGGGGAAGTTCAGCTTGTCATGCAACAGGACCCATATTTTCCCAACCAAAGGCCACACCAGCCACTTTGCCAGGAATGGGAGAGCCACACCCCATCTGCAGAAAATAAAGGGGATTGCAACAAACATCCCTTAAAAAATGTGCAGCTCAAAATGGCTGTGGGCTGTAGCAGGCCATTTTCTATCCTTCAATTAGTGATCTTCCAAATGACTCATCAGTGAGCATTGCATCAAAGGACCTGCAATCTGGAAGGGCCATATCTAAGTATTCATTGACAGGACTGGTAGCACCACTTTTTTGAAGATTGCCCAACTTCTCTTTATAAGGTCTCATTTTCTGTTTCCTTACATCTCTGCCAATCCTTATCAGTTCCAGCTCACATGTTCCAAGCTCAGTGCCTGCCAACAGTTCATTACCTGTTTGTTGAGTTTAGGGGGTTGATTTGGTTTGGTTGAGTTTGGGGCAGATATCTTAACTTTCTGTTTAACCAGTTCAGCTGTTTCCTGGAGAGATGTGTCAAAATAAACAAACAAACAAACCCAAGAGAAAAAATGTTGTGTATTTCTTCCTATAAGTGCTCCTTGTGGCAGAGAATTGAAATTTATTAGGCTGATGGTCCTCAGGTCATGAATCTGCCATGAAGGTCCATGCCAAATGGACTCCTGGAGCTAATCAGGTTGCAATCAAGAACTCAATGTGTCTCAGCCCACACAGTAGGTGAAGCTTAGTTCTTCCTTACATCAGTTACTCCCAGCTGCACAAACAGCACAAAAGCACATCTGCCCACAACTCAGAAAGTCCAGTAATGAGGCTGGACAAAAAGGGCCAAATGAGAGAAAGCTGAGCGATTTGAGCAAGCACTGGAGCAGATGAGAAGGGCTTGGTCACTTTGGGTTTCATGCAGAGAGAAAGAGCAGGCTGGGGACCAACAGGGACTGGTCAGCCTCAGCCTCTCTAAATTGATCCCTGTTTACCACACTGACTATTTGTGCAGCACTAAGACAACATCATCATGAACAGCATTGGACCATCTTAGGAAGAGAGCACTAAACTGAACAGGGCACAAGCATCAGCTTGCAGGCAAGAATCTACCACCAGTGTGCAGTTTGTGTCACCAAGTGACCACTCAGTGGTTCACTCATTCCCTGTGATGGTGGAAACTACTTGGACCAAAACCACGAGTACAGCCTGTGAGCCTGTTGTTGCTATCTGCCTCTGTTGTCAGTTTTCTTTTTGTCCAGTGAAATGAGCCCTGCCAATTCGTACAAACTAATTTAGAAGAGGCTCCAACTAATTTCTAGAAGTTAATATGCACCAGTTAAATGTGTGAGAATGATAGCCATGTGGCTGCTTCTTGGACTTGGGATATTGCTAAACCAGAGAGCCATCATCAGTCAATCAATTAGCATTGATTAATTAGAGGGGAGAGGAATGACAGTAAAGGTACTGAAGTCCTGTTTTCTGAACAATGGATCTGAGCATGTGTAAGCACCAAACATTACTGAGCCATGGGCACTGCAATGTAAGGTGCAGGATTAGAGACTGTGAGTGGTGGTAATAGCTCCCAAGAGGAAGAAGAGCTGTACCTCGGAGAAGAAAGAAAGAGCAGTGAGACCAGGCAATTACATGAAGGTAACAGTAATAAAAGAGTATGGATGACAGAAGTTAGAGGCTAAAGCTAGAGATAAGGGGCGAAGTAAAGCAAGGGAGATATACTTGGAAGGGGGACCAGTGAGACCCTGTCCACTTCACACTCTCCTCCTTCAAGGACTGAAACAGGACTAGAGAAGCTAGGACTAGCTCTTCCAACCTCCCAGACCTGTCCCACTTGCTCCAAGGCATACTAGAGTGTCCTTTCCACTGCCAGGCTGTAATGGAGAAAAAGCAGATATCAGTTCATGAGTCCTATGGGGGTATAGGCTGGTTCCCTCAACTGCATAAGGGTGTGATGGGATGTAGCCCAGACAGGTATTTGCAGCACCAGAGGGCACCAGACAGCAAGGAGCATGTGTTATTTTGGTCCTTGGGGCTACAGACCTAAGGGGGTAGGACCAGGGGGCTGAGTTGAAAAGTAGACAGGAAGGACTGTACATCATGAGGGTCAGAGTAGCCTTGTCAAGAAGCATGCCTATTTTTTTCATGTGTTCTTTGTAACTGACTTGGAGTAGATCTCAAGATAGGTGACTTCTGGGATTTCTCTCTTTGCTCTGTCAAATCAAGAACAATCAAGGCTACAATACAAATTTAACCTGTCCCCCCTATTACCTCTACCTCCACCGAACTGGACATGTCCATACCATTCACACTCCAAACATGGCTTTGCAAAACACTTTGAAGAAGAGGGAACCACCAGAGCTTTTTCACTTTGTAAGTGTGGTGAAACCTATGCTGGTGAGTCTGTGTGGTCAGCACTCATTTACAGCCCTAGACCCAACACAACACAGGGCAAACCTTTCAGCCATTGCACTGTCTATTGCAGCCCCCTCAGCCTAGTGCCAAAGATAACATCTGTATTCCTCTGCTGTCTGTCACTGAAGCCTCTGGTCTCAGTTGTTTTTCTGCCCTCTATTAGCAACCCCGGTGGCAAGAAGGCCCAGAGGCACTCTCTGTGACACAAATCTCTGCACTGATACAGTCATTTGAACACTGGAAAAATCAGGCTTCCGTTTTCCTCTGTGTCCTTGTGCTCTGAAATTAGATTTCCTTAGATGTAGGGTAATTAATATGGGTCCTCTCCTCAAAAAAGGCACATCACAGAATGACAGAAAGTCAGGCTACAGACCTAACTCTTCAGCTACATAACAGAGAGAAGTATTATCTCCTTCCTACACAGCCTACTCAGAACCCAGTCTTGGGGCTCTAATGGACTGTTGAGGAGAAGCAGCTGTGGCCAGAGCAGATTCCCATCCTGGGAAACTCTTGAAAGAAGAGAAAATACCCTACCTGGCATGATGATTTATGGATGTGTTCAGAGCAGGACTTTCAACTGTAGCTCAGCTACACAGACATCTTCCTCTTTCTACCCTACAAATTAGATCTTTTAAACCCCCTATTTAGCTTCTTTCTCACTAAACCTTTTAGTCAGGTTGCCAAGTTTTCAGCCTTGGGTTTTGTCACAGTAACTGCTCAAAACAATAGAGGCCTCCTTTGCAAAGTGCATTGCAGGGCCTTTCAGCTCAATTAGTTGCCTTAGCTCTGACTGCCCCTCATGTAAACTCACTTCCTAGTGCTCATCTTAAGTTTCACAGCAAGCTGGGCTACCAAGAGTGAAAGGATGTGGTCTACCAATCACATTGGAGATTAGAAACATCTCGTCTGGAATGAAAACAAACACAAATATGAGAATATGTCTGAATATGAAAAAGTTTTCAGAAAACCTTCATGTGTCATCTTAATCATCTTCCTATTCATGAATGCACTTGAAACCTCTTACAAGGTTCTGATAAGGAG